AATATAAACATGCAAAAAATACACAAAATAAAAAGCCTAGTCATGTGCTACTTCATACGCTTCGGTACTCACCTTGGCCTTATTGTCGAGAAAGACATTCTACCAAAGACTACCTATTCATCTCGATTGGACTAGGTGTCTCCAACGATGGATCTAAGCTTCGGACTAAAACAAGACTTAAGAAAATATACTAAAAGAATAAACACTAAGTGCAGAACTTCCTTACCGAATACTCGACCAAGACTCGCGACTCGACCAACTTCTATCCGACTAGGCTCAAGCTTAACAAAACTCTAACTAGTCTAAGGTGGGAATTCGGTGTGAAGAACTAAAGAATTATGGCTTGATTCTGTGGCTTTATATAGGGAGAGGAAACTTGGTGCCCAAGCAAAGGCAAGCACGAGGTGAAAATAAGTTTTATCCAAAAACCTATCAAGTTGCAAGCTTATAGCTTATCCTTATCCATACATACGGATGGAATGAGGACTGAATACGGAACTGGATTATTTTTCGTAACCTCGGTCAGACTGTATACGGGCATCGCAAGTAACGCTTCTGATTCGTCCTTAGTCCTAGGGGGTTCAGGGGTGTTACCTGACCCCTAAAAACTATACTATCGGTAACCCTTTTAAAACTTATTTAGAACAATGAACTTGCTTTGTTACATTAGTAACTCACACTAGTTGAATCCTTCGCAACCCCAAAAAAAAAAAAACTCAAAAAAACAATAATTCTTTTTCACCAAAACACAACATAATGTAATTAAACAACATCATTTGGTTATTTGCTACACTAATAGCCATCAACAAGAAAACACAAACTCCAATTTGTTTGATACATCAGCTTCCAAGCACCTCACGTTGTCCATCGACCATTCGTTCTACTCGCTCGCGGTACACGTTCGTACCGAAAGCTCTTCCGACCACTATACGCTCACAATGATCTTTACATGTTCTAACGTGAAAAAACTTCTAAATTTCCAAAATAAATGACTAAGTCATTTAACCACTCTACTAAACCTTGTTGTCTTCGTATCCAAACCAATTCAATCACCGCTTGCTTGTCTCAGCCTAAATCCACTCTTTCTTGATAAAACTAGTTTTTCCCTCGACAAAGTTGATCTTTCCCTCGACTAAATTGCCCGTAAATAAATTCTTGATAATGGTTTGATCGTATCCTTAGATCACACTAACACCAAATATGTGCGATACCTATTGCCCGTGGCCACTAATAGCATTAGCCATCAACAAGAAAACACAAACTCCAAATTGTTTGATACAGTAAGATTATTTACGAATACTAAATTTTCATATTTGCTTTGCTTCAATATCTTATAGATATTTGAATTTTTCGAATCGAATCGATCGAAATAAATATCGAAGCGAAGCGAATGTAACAAATATTTTGCCCATTAGCCATCAACAAGAAAATACAAACTCCAAAATTGTCTTTTTTGTAAAAAAGCAAACTCCAAATTGTTTGATACAGTAAGATTATGAAACAAAAATCCAAATTGCACTTAGTTTTGAAACTCTTTTAAAATCAATTTATAAAATATATATATATATATATATAGGTGTGTGTATATATATATATATTGATGTGAAAATTGTTGAGAAGATTTTATATTAAAATGAAGTATATTTTAAGTAAAAAAAATGAGAATTTATATATGTATTAACCTAAAATGAAAAACATTTGACTTTTCCTGGTCAAATATGTATTAAAAATTAAAAACGAAAATGAAATAAATATATATATATATATATATATATATATAAAATTAAAATGAAAACATATATTAAAAATTTAAATTTATATTTGACCAGGAAAAGTCAAATTATATATAAATTATATATTAATTTTTAAACAAGGCCGGAGAGCGTGGGTGGATTCATATAATGTGTCATGTGTGGCATAGGTTTAGTCACGGATGAATGATATGTAAGCCAACTTTGACCCCAGAAAGACCCAATAGCCCCACCTGAAGAAGAAGACAATATATGAAACGAAACCTAGAGAGAAGGATACCAAAAGGACTAGAGGAAATCTAGATTGTTCTGAAGTGTCTCTATTTAAGCTCTCTATAGTAGTAGTAGTCACTGAGAAACAGAGTAATAAGATCAAAGTTTCACCTTTTTATCTTTTTAAAATTATCTCTTTCATCTCTTGTCTTCTCTCTCTCTCTCTCTCTTGACTAGCTCTCTGTGTGTGACAATGTTGGACCCTGTCACTTCCTTGACGGTATCTATATGTGGTGGTTTATCTGTCATTATCATTAAGAAGACAGTTGACGAACTCATAGTTGTTGGCAACCTTCCGTTTATGATGGAGGAACTGGAGAAGTCCATGGAAGAGCTCAAGGCAAAGCGAGATGATGTGCAGCGAAGGATCAAAAAGGAGGAGGAAATAAGAGGCCAGCGGAGGTATCAAGAAGTCCAGCTATGGCTCCAAGACGTCAGGACTGTCGAAATGGAATTCGATGATTCCTTTAGTAAACCCAGTGCGCCTCTAAAGGCTCTCTTTTCTTTGAAATTCCACAAATACGTCAAAAGGGTTTCCAAGATGTTGCAAATCGTTTCTGCTCTCAACTCCAGAGGGTCCTTTGCATCCGTCACTGGCCCAGCTACCTAGCTGATGCATACTGTCTTGATGGGCCTTCTTCGGTGTTTTCATGCCCTTCAAGACTCAAGACACACACACACACACACGCCGTGTTTGGCTTTTTTTTTTTTTTTTTATCTCTGCTCTTCTTTCAGTTTCCACTTTTATCTTTTCCTTTACAGTTTTCGTGGATTCCTACACAACCCTCTATGACTAGAGCTTGTGATCACCTATGTAATCCATCATTGATTTTTCAAAATTAGTGAAAAACACCCCCAAAACAAACATATATCTTTTTCTTGCCTATCGTATGACCTCAGACGATATCTCTATATGTGATCTCTCCGCCACTCAACCTCGGTTTTCTCCTGACAAAACAGCTCATGATCCTTATTGTAGATATCATTTACTATTAGATGTTGATACAAACATAACATCATTCTATATATAACACGAATTTACCGAGCCTCATATATATACATCTTCTTTTTTTTTTTTGTCGACTCCGAGCCTCATATACATCATTAAGTGTAAAGATACATATATAATATCATGTCGCTAAAAGAAGGTGGTTTAGCGAACTTGCTTTTCTCCATCAGAAAAAGTGCAATGTGGTAAAAGAAAACTCTCGACCAAATCATGAATGTGTCTATTTTATCTCATTTCTAAAACTAACAGTTAAGCCCGACTCTGAATCTAGTACTATTTCTTGAGTTTTAGAAAAACTCACTTCATTTCACACAATAAATGAGATCTCAAATATTTCAAAATTTAGTCATATACATTATTTTTTTAAGTTAAGTCATTTATATTCAATCGCTTTTAACTACTAATTCTTTTGTGATCTTCTGCGATGCACTTGTTACCTCTCGACATCTAGTTTATTTTTACCTTCTATTAACTCTCATATAATATATATTGAAGTGTAGTTGATTTTTAAGACATCATAACAATTTCTTCCTTAATAATAGTCCATTTTGGGTTAAAAGCATTTGATTCAAATGATGGGATATCAAACTTTTTTTTCTTTTTGATTATGTTAAAAAGTTACAGTTCTACTTGAGGATAAGTAAACTTTCTTTTTGAGATATGCTACACACATTACATATCACTTTACGGCTTACATATTACTTTCTATATATTTTATTGTCAAACTCATGAATAATGTGATAATTAATTATTTATTATTTTAGAATATGGATGATATTTTTTTTTATAATTTTTCTGCTAAACCTTTTCGGAGTGAACTGTAACGCCTATATTATCAAAATAAATGTAAAATCACCGAAATTGAGTTGGGGATAAGAAGCAATGGAATGTAGTTTAGAATTTTTTAATATATGTTAGACTTACCTTTTGCATTTAAGTACCTTAGGCGTGGAAATTTGAAAAGCAAGAAGCTCATGAGCGGTTATTAAATCAGATTGGGACTGAGTTTATGAATTATGATAAGCTGAAGTGGAAACGCCATAAATCCGTAAGAAAGAACGTAAGTGAGAGACAACTTAAACATATTAACTTATTTGGGCTTATATTATATTGGGCTAAACAATGTGTTCCTTTTAATATTATAGAATATAAACCCAATTTAGATATAAAAGTGTTAGGCTTAAATTACAAACTAACAGGCCAAAAGACAATAAAATGTTGAACAAAATATATGAGTTTAGATTATTTGTTTGGCTTGATACAAAAATTAGAAAAATGCTGATGTGGACCGCTTTAGAGGGAGAGAGAACTCTCCCCTTATATATATAGATTTAAGTAAAAAAGAAAATTCCAAATGCGCTGACAGGGTGAAAACAAAACCCAATTTAAATATTTATTCTAGTAATTAACAACAATATATTTTTGATAAATTAATTTATAAAAGTTAGAAAGTTGTAGATGATCGATTGCAATAGAGAGAGCAATGGCAACTAACCGAGAAAAAAGCTGAATAATCTACTTGTTAATCATCTCCATCTTATAGATTAACAAGTAGATTAACAAGATGGAGATGATTAACAAGTCTAAGACACATACACAATAACGAAACATATTAACCGAAACAAATAAAACTAGACACTATTAGACTATGGTTTCGATTAACCGGTTTTACATAACCGGACAAATTAGATTAAACCATAAAGCTGCTATATAAAGCATGCTTAGATGTAACAAAAGAGAAATAACAGAATATTTTCATTGTCTTCTTCGTTTGATCTTTCTCATTCTATTATGGTATCAGAGCATTTTGAAATTGGACCATTGGTTCCACATCACACACAAATAAAAAATAGAACGAGATGTTATAAAAGAACAGAGGACAGATCTCATCCAGAAGAAACAAAAACAAAAAGAAAGATAAATGACAATCACCATCCCTATCTTCCACTCCTTGTCCCTTCTCAGTCTTATTCTGAATCTGAATTCCCTTCATAATCTGTTTCCTCCAATGGAGGATGGACTGACTTGAGTAATTCTAAATCGTTAACATTAAGATCTTCTACGTGGTTTACAAAGGTGCGAATGCTACAAGATGTCTTAAAAGCTTCACCAAAACCTTGGATCTCAACACGTTGAAGAGTCTTCCTTTCGGGATTGAAGTAGTAAACATAAAACGGTTGTTTGGGTGTATACTTGCGCACCGAAAACACTATTTCTCCCAAAACAGTCGCTCCAGCGAAGGAAACGTGACGACGGAAGAACTTATCATCGGTCCAAGTGTAGGCATATCTCGACCATTCTTGTTTCTCAACATCCTCTAGAACCCACACATGCAACTCATTAGTGGCATCAACTTCAAGATTTTCCTCCAAATACTTTTCAAGGTCCTTACTACCATTACAAATCTCGTAAACGTCTTCATCATCTTCCCAATAAATCACAGCTAATTTGCCCTTGTAGTTTATCAACCGACAAAACCTTTCTACTTCAATAAAAGTGAATTCCTCAGACCTAACATCAAAGCAAACTATCACATAATGCAACGTTACATCATCAGAACTAACATGTATAGAATCCGACGCGTCGCCTAAGTAATACAAAACCCCATTGATGCATACCCCATCACTCTTAACTTCATGTCGTAAGGAACAATTAATCTTTCTCCATCTCATATCTCCATATCCAAATGTAAGAATTCTATGACGACCTGGACCATATGGATAAGCCATGTACAATACCTTGTATTGCTTCTCAACCGGGTCAAACCCGAAAAAGCTATACGCCTTTCTGTAAGTATACCGTTCAGGTAAAATCTCATACCGTCCTGTGATGGGGTTACATATCAGAGCAGGTCTAGCTTGGCATCGATTACCATGGATATAGAACAATCCAGAAGCGTAGCCACATGAACAATGCCTTACGTTATAGTAATGATTGATCTTTAAACTGTCTGGAGAGAACCTCACGTGAAACTCCGCGGCTGCTACTACAAGACTCGTCGATGGTGATTGTTCATATGGATACTCAAGCTGAGGCAACGAGAAGAAGCTCCATACACCACAGCCAGCTTCTGCGTCTTCGTCCCCGTTTTCTATGATGGCGAATAAGAGACGTGGCTTAGCCGAGGACCTGGTCAAGAACAACTCCTTGAAATATAGACTACACAACATTGATGCCCATAGCTTCGACACGCAACGAAACCTAGTCACTGACTTTGAAGGCAGTCTCGACAATATCTCCAAGATGAGATCATTATTCGATATAAGAGATGATGAATTCATTGTACTTTGCCGAGCCAATTAAGAAATAGATAGTTTAAAAGTTAAAACCTAAGTTATATAATAAAGAGACTAAGTTTAGTCGGTTGACGAAATCAAAGATGGGCCAAGTTAACGTCCAATATTTAATTGCATGAACAAAAATTTTGTAGGTTTAAGATATTTTTCTTTTTATGATACTCTTGTTCAAATTTAATAAAAACTATGTTTTCCTTTTAGGAAAAGGACATGTGTAATTAAAATTTGCAAATTTACCATAAATAAAGATATATAAACATTAATTTTTATCATATATTCGAAATTTTTTATTTCGGCTCATTATTGTTTTGATTTTTTATTTATTTATGAACAGCCACACACAACATGCGTTAAATTATACAACATAAATCATAAGTAGATCTATACTAATAAATTCAACAAGTAATAAAAAAAATAAAGATCATAACCTGATTATTGTTATTGATGTTTTTTTTTTTTGGTGTTTTCACTTCCGAATATAACATTAGAGGTTCTTACCATTATTTTTAATATAAAATTTGCAAAATTTATAGTTAAGATCCTCAATAGGAGTGTTAAGTTTTTCTTCCTCCAATAATCCCACTTGAGGTTCTTAAGAATAAAATAAAGAATATATATATTTGAACACCAAAGAATATTTTTAAAATTAATAATATTTCAAATATAATTTATTTTGCTTAGATCTACTTTGTTTTTATTTTAAACATACTATGTTTTGTAAAATTTAAAATTGATTCTTGATTATTGCTAGGAAGGTATAGTTCTTATATAAAGCATCCAGAGGTTGTTCATGAAGTTCTTTGTAAAGAAAGATGATTGATCCATATACTTCATTCTGTGATAAATTGATCTCTGAAGCCAAAAATGTTTTTTGAAAGAGAAATTATGACTTTTATATTGCTCTTCTCACAAGCAGAGAAGCAGAGACAAAAAAAAACCAGTTAAACAATATAAACACACGAAATAGCTTAGTAGATTATTAGATTGAGCAAAGACAATACAACAACCAAAGCTTTAAGTATGTGAACTTAATTAGATTGAATCTCCAAGCATCCATTTCAATGACTGATGAACACTTAGATTTGAAATGAAACTTACTTTATTGAAATGAAAAGGATACTAGCGTACAAGAATAGATTATTAAGGTTGACAGAAAAAAAAAACAAAAAAAAGACATGCACATAAGCACATTGCTTTCACCTAACTCCAATCATTATTCTTTATCTTCTTCTCCTTGTCCCTTCTCATTCTGATTCTTCTTCTTCTTCTGAATCTGACTCTTCTTCAACTTCTGGCTCCACCAATGGAGGATGGACTGACTTGAGCAGCTCTAAATCGTTAACACTAATATCTTCCACATGGTTTACATAGGTGTATACACTACAAACGTCTTCACCAAAACCTTGGATCTCAACACGTTGGAGGGTCTCCCTTTCGGGATTGAAGTAGAAAACATAAAACGGTTCTTTAGGTGTATACTCGCTCATCGAAAACACTATTTCACCCGAAGCAGTAGCTCCCGCGATATAAACTTGACGACGACGGAAGAATATATCATCAGTCCAAGTGTAGGCATATTTCAACCATTCCTGTATCTCCATATCCTCTAAAACCCACACATGCAACCTATTAATGGCATCAGCCTCGACATGATGTAATCTTCTATAACCAAATGAAAGAGTGTCGACATCATCTTCGAAATAAACCACACCTAATTTGCCCTTATAGTTTATCAATCGACAAAACCTTTCTACCTCGAAAAAGGTGAATTTTTCAGACCTAACATCAAAGCAAACTATACTATAATCAAATTTTAAAGCATAATCATCATTATCCCAAGCAGACGTTTCAGCCAAGTAATACAAAACCCCATTGATGCATACACCTTCACTCGCGACTTCATATCGTAAGGGACATTTTATCGTTCTCCACTTCATATCTCCAGTTCCTACCGTAAGAATCTTATGATTGCGATCACAACCAGATAAGTAAGCCATGAACAATACCTTGAATTGCTTGTCAATCGGATCAAACACGAAAAAGCTATACGTCTTTCGGTAACGTTTCAGATGAGGTAAGAGTGTATACCCTCCTGTGTTAGGGTTGCATATCACACATTTATTGTCGTAACGACTACCATAAAAATAGACCAAACCAGAGTTGTAGCCATGTTGAAAATATCGTAGGTTACGAATATGATAGATCAACCTAGGGAACTTCAAATGAAACTCGGCGCCTGCAACAAGATTTGAAGACTTCTCGTATGGATTCAGAAGCTGAGGCAAAGAGAAGAAGCGCCACACACCTTTTGAGGTATCTTCACCGTATGAATCTTTTTCACCCTTTTCTACTATGGCCAATAAGAGACGCGGCTTAGCCAAGGATCTTGTCAAGAACAACTCCTTGAAATATGGACTACACAACATCGATGCCCATAGCTTCGACACGCAACGAAACTTAGCCACTGACTTTGAACGCAGTCTCGACAATATCTCGAGGATGAGATCATCATTAATCGATATGAGAGATGATGATTTCATTATGCTTTGCCGATCCAACGAAGAAATAGATAAGTTAAAACCTAATAAAGAGACCTAAACCTAGCTAGAGAAACAAAAGCTATATATATATATATAATAAAGAGACCTAGGTTTCCCTTTACATGTTCCGATTTGAGTCGGTTAAAGAAACGGGCAACGTTAACGACTTAACGTCCAAGTGAGCCGTCTGCTCGTTTAACAAGGCGGAAAGGACACCTCGTGTCGTTTTTATTTCCTCGTTGAAACTGTCTTGGCGTTTCAGGCTAGTACGTAAAACTTTGTATGTGTAGTATTATACTATTATTATTAAAATATGAAATTGAGGTAGGAGTTTTTTTTTATATAGTATATATAATACCATTTATCGTCAAATATGAAATTGGGATACGATATCACTAGTTGTATAGAACGATGGATTAGGCCCGCGGATATAAGAAAATATGTAAAAAAATTAATAGTAATTTAGATTTTGATTTGATATTTTAAATGATAATTTCTATATTAAAATCCAAATTTATATTTTATGCACTTTATCTTGAAGTAGAATTTAACACTATATTACATAATAATAAAAGTAGATTTTAGTTATATGCACTCAATCCTAATGGATAAAAATTTATAGTTTATATATCTTATTATATAAAGTGTGAACCCAGCTGAAAGTAAATAAACTTATAATTCATCTTCGTAAGGTTGACATATAAAAACCAAGAAACAAAATCTACCAACAAACATGGAAATTTCAAAATATCTCTTTTTAAATATCACATATTACAATTTTTTTTGTTTTGTTTCGTTTTAATACATTTGGGTGTGGTTTTCCGGTCATTATTACATATTTTAAGTATAATATATATATATATATATGTTCAATATTTTGCATTTATAATTTAAGATTAGTTTTCAAATGTATAATTTCATGAACAAAAATTTCGCAGCTAGTAAGGTATTATTCCTTTATACTAACTGTAATATTCTTGTTAAAATTTTAGATATAAATTTAAACTAAAAAATTAAAATAAATTAGATCTGTATTCTAACTCATTTTATTTTGAGTAAAAATCATATTTTAGTTTTAGAAAAAGAGAATTAACTAACTATATTCTTTTTATTCTTGAAAAGACGAATACATTAACTCCTCCCTCGTTTTAATTGGATAAATAACTACATTTTCTTTATAACTTAAAAGAACCACATTAAAGGTTTATGTGATATACATAAAAGAGAACATCTGATGTCACATACTCACATTGTACTTATATTTTTAGCTCTCTGACTTTAACCACTTTGACTGAATTTTCAAGAAGTTTGCTCATCACAGAGCAAAGAGAAAGAGAGTGTGAGAGAGGAAGTTGAAGGAAACAAAGCTTGTGTGTGAGTGTGACCTTGAAATCAGAAAAATGGCTAGGAACGGTGATTACCTTCGGTGCTTACAAGAACGCAAACATGAAGGATTCTTCAAGGCCGTTCAGAGTATAGATGTTGCTTCAGAAAACATGGTAACTATGTTTCTAAACTCTTCTTGTTCTTAAATTTGGCGAGTTCATGTTAGCTTTGTGTGGAAAGGTTGAAACTTTTGGTTCTCTGTAACATGGGTCTTGTCTTAAATGTTGAATCTTGTTAACTAAGTTAAGAAAGGTTGAAACTTTTGATTCTCTGTAACAATGGGGTCTTGTCTTAAAGGTTGAATCTTGTGAAAAGTGAAGTTAATTAGCCAAAAAGTAAAGAACAAGGAATCATGTGGATTGTGTAGCTGTTGTGCTCTGTTTGACTGTAACAATGGGTCTTGTCTTTTAAAAGTTGAATCTTGTTGGCTGTGTTTGGAAAGGTTGAAACTTTTAGTTCTTAACAATTGTTGATGTCTTAAAGGTTGAATCTTGTCTGCTAGTTTTAAAGGTGGAGTCTTTATAGTTGATAAGCTTTTGGGTTTCCAATAACTCATGATTCTTGTCTCTTTTGTTGCTTCCCTTAGTTCTCTGTCTAAGTTCGTGGATGTATCTTTCAAATGAGATCTGTCCTCTGTTCGTTACAAATGTCTTGTTAGGTTTTCATTTGTATGTAAATTTTGAAACTTTGGACTCAAATACTTGATGAGGTGTAGTAACAAGTTCACTGTTATTGAAAAAAAACATTCTTCAGTCTTATATATATCATCTCTTCATCTTATTTGTATAACCAAAGCGAGCACTTCCTCATGACTTCGTGAGAAGCTTCTCAGACAAAGAGCTCTCATGTAAGATGAAGATAAGAACACAATGGGGACGCTCTTGGGAAGTAGAAATTTCCAAAAACCCGAGATTTTACTTCATGGAGAAGTCTGGTTGGGACAAGTTTGTGAAGGACAATGCCTTGGGACACAGTGAGTTTCTTACATTCACTCACAATGGAAACATGTGTTTCACTGTTAACATCTTCAAACAAAACGGCAAGGAGATGCTCCAACCTTCACATTCCAGAGCATTCTTGGCTTCTTCAAGTAAAAAGATTTAATTTGCTTTTCCGGTTATGAAACAGTGAACTGGATAAAGACACTGATTCTTTTACTTTTGATGCTGAAACAGGTCGGGTTAAAACAGAACAAAGAAGAGGTAGTGTCTACAATGATTTCAAGAAAGAAGAAGTATTGTCTCCTGAGTTAAGTAATCGTTCCCCAACAACAGTAGTTGAATCAAATGGAGGAGAAAGTTACAAAAGAAAGCTCAGCTTTGGGAAGAAGAAAGCTGAGGAAACTCAAAACTCGAAGAGGACTGAGAAAGTAGTAAGGGCGAGGAGAGATTCTGCGGGAGCCTCTTCGTCTTCGGTTTCAGAATTCACCATCTTATTCAAGAAAGCAAATCAGATATTCCAGGTAAAGATAAGACAAACCAAGAACGTCTAAAACAGAATCAATGTATTATGAATCAAAATATTTATCTTTGTGTGTGTGTGTTTTCAGAGGATCCCGGTTTCATTTGCAAAGGATCATATGCCGGAAGAGAAGACAATGTTCAAGATTCATCACCAAGATGGGAAGAAATCTTGGAATGTGATATATCTAATGAAGTTTAGATCTTTCTCTGGTGGATGGCGCTCTGTGGTTAAAGAGTATCCTCTTGATCCTGGGGATACCTGCAAATTCACACTTATCGAACCAAACGAGTTGCTTCTCGTTGTCTTCAAACCCTAAGAGAAGACTCAATGATGATGATGGGTGTGAGGGGTTAGCATCTTCGAGTAAAGGAACCTTTGTGTTTAATAGTCTTGTCTAGTCCTGGGCGTTCGGATATTCGGTTCGGTTTCGGTTCGGTATGATTAGGTTTCGGATACTTTCGGACTTGACTATAAGATCCATTCGTTTTTTTTGGAATTTCGGTTCGGTTTCGGTTCGGTACCTTTCGGTTTCGGTTCGGTCTCGGATCTTGAACAAAAAAATTGATCTAGTGATCTAATATTTTTGGATTATTTTTGGTGTGGTTTTAATCGAAAAAGTTCGGATATGTGCTGATATTTCAGAAATTTTTGGATTATTTTGGATATTTTTGAATATTTTCTTTTAAGCATGTATTGAACTTGTCTAATGTATGTAATGTATGATGGTAACTTTTATTGGCAAGATTTGGCTGGAGACATATCTGGCGGCCCATTTGGACGTTAAACAAGCCCATTAGTATTTCTTTCTTACCGACTAAATCCGGGAATATAAAAAAAATGGTACAGTAGGTAGGTTTCTTCTCTAGGTCTTTAATAGTTAGTTTTTATCATCTCTCTTACTTCGTTCGAACGCAAATCATGAGGTCATCATGTCCCATATCATCGACTAATGATCTCATCTTGGAGATATTGTCGAGACTTCCTTCAAAGTCAGTGGCGAGGTTTCGTTGCATGTCGAAGCTATGGACATCAATGTTGAGTAGTCAATATTTAAAGGAGCTGTTCTTGACCAGCTCCTCGGCTAAACCGCGCATCTTATTCGCCATAGTAGAAAGAGATGTGTGGAGCTTCTTCTCTTTGCCTCATTTTGAGAGTCCATATAGCAATCTTCGTCCACGACTCTAGTAGCAGCCGCTGAACTTAATGCGAAGTTATCAGGAGGTCCATTGATCAGGCAATGTTTTTTATGTGACTAAACCTCTGGCTTGATCTATTTCAAGGATAGACCGATGATATGTAACCCCATTACAGGACGGTATGCGATGTTACCTAATAGGTATACTGACAGAAATGCTTATAGCTTTTTTGGGTTTGACAAGAAACATAAGGCATTATCAATGGTTTATCCGAGTGGTCGTGTTCATAGTAAAATTCTTACATTTGGAGATGAATATATGAAGTGGAGAAAGGTAAAATGTTCCTTAGCACATTATATCGAAAGCGAAGGGATATGCATCAATGGAGTTTTGTACTATTTAGGTGACTCGAACATTTATATCAATGGTAATCATGTTGTAACGTTAGTTATAGTTTGCTTTGATCTTAGGTCTGAGAAATTCACCTTTATTAACGTAGAAAGCTTTGTAAATTGATAAACTACAAAGGCAGATTAGCGATGATTTATTGGGAGGATTACGCCCTTGATGTGTTGCATTTGTTGATTCTAGAGGATGTTGAGAAACAGGAATGGTCAAAACATGCCTACACTTTGAGGGATGATAGTTTCTTTTGTCGTCATCACGTTTCCATCATTGGAGCAACCATTTCGGGTGAAATTGTGTTTTCGACGCGGGAGTATTCAGCCAAACATAAGTTTTATGTTTTCTACTTCAATCCGCGAAAAGACACTATCCAACGTGTTGAGATCCGAGGTTTTGGTGAAGAGATTAAGAAACGTTGTAGAGTTCGCACCTTTGTGAACCACGTAGAAAATCTTGATGTTAACGATTTTAAACTACTCAAGTCATTCCATCCTCCATTGGTGGAGCCAAAATATATAGGACCATCAGATTCAGAATCAGACTGAGAAGGGACAAGGAGAAGAAGATAAAGACAAATGATTGGAGTTAGGTGAAAGCATTGGGTATGTCATTGAAACCAATGCTTGAAGTATTTATAATTTGTTTCCAATTGTTGAGGATTCGTTGTTCTCCTTGTTGAATCAAAGATCTTGTACAACTTCTTCAGTTTTAATATTTTAACTATTTGATCTTGCTATTAACTAGTATCCGACAGTGTTTTTGAATGAATTTGAATTCGGCGTATTTAGTATTTTAGGCAATGCAAACATAATATAGCTATATTATGTTCCTCATTTGTTCCTGCTTTGCTCTGTTTGCATTGTGCAAATGAGTATACTTGAAAGATTATGATTATGTATTTGATGTAACCACAATAACCTAAATCATTGAGGCAAGTGGTGTTGGAGCAATATCACTAGCAGATTGTAATCTTGTTCTCCATAAACAAACCATGCATATCAGAAGCTTGTAATTTGGTAGATTCATCACATCGGTGAATTGTACTAGTAGAAAAGAAACTTACAATACCTTTTTTACTTTGATTCTTCTATGTTTCCTATATTATTCGGCTTCCAGTTAATTTTTTTATATGTTTGCAAATATGTAGCTTTATACTTGTGAAGTTTTATCGACTCACCCTACTTAAAAATTCACCAATAAATCGATTTATCAAGGTTTACATACGTTAAAATTAGAACGATTGATTGACAATGTCGTGATTATGTTAATTACAAATTCTAGCTAGGACACCAAAGTTTGTTTCAAATTTCAAATTGGGAAAATTTCTAATAAAAACGTGACTTACTTAATATTTGCCAGAAAAATACATGAATTTGTTTCGTTGCCAAAAGATTATGTAAATTAATTTATAGATAATAAAAAAACGAGAACTATTCCGATTTTCCAATGTCCCATATATCATGGTTATGATTTTCAACGAAACTAATACAATAGTAAACATTATTACTATTACAATCTTGTGAAAAAGTTTCATCCTTGTAGTAGGTATAATCATAACAATATCTTTTGATATTTTAGCATTATTTTCAATATTTGTTTTCTCATAATTAATCTTTTGTTATGATTAAAAACTTAGAAAAACGAAAAATAGACAAACAATGTTTACGATTGTGTTTGTTTTGTTGAAAATCGTGACAATGATATATACGTGGGAAACTGAAAAATCGGGATAGTGCGTATATGTTTTATCATATATAAATTAGTTTGCATCTTTTTCTAGCAGCAAAAAATTTCATGTATTTTTCTCGTAAATATTATAAATCTCTTTTTTTGGAATATACATTAGTAACTTTTTTTGTTTGTGTAATTTTCAAAAATAGTAATTGTAATTCTTGTATTTTTATGATTTTTAATGTATTGTATAGTTTTTCTTTAATATAATTTTTTCTTACAAGTGTTAAAATATTATTGATAAACTTAACATGTCTCGCAGTAAAATGAGTTACTAACTATACAAACAACGTACTTCTACTTGTAGCGCAAAACATTTATCACCGGCTGGAAAAGAGATAATGTTGAAGTCAGTCGCTTTGTCAATGCCTGTATATTGGATGTCTTGCTTCAAATTACCGCTTGGTATTATAACGGAAATAGAATCGGTTCTTCAGAAGTTTTGGTGGGAAAAAGGTCATCAGAATCGTGGTATATCTTGGATAGCTTGGAAGCGTCTTCAATATGCTAAGAAAGATGGTGGGTTGGGTTTCAAAGATTTGGAGAAGTTCAATGACGCTTTACTTGCGAAACAAGCTTGGCGAATCATTAAACAACCTGAATCTCTTTTTGCTCGTGTCATGAAAGCTATGTACTTCCGAGATTGTCCAATTTTGGAGGCGAAAAAAAGATTAAAACAATCATACGGATGGGCATCGATTCTTGCAGGCTTGGAAGTAATTAAAAAAGGAACTCGTTTCACAGTCGGCAATGTTGAACATATACATATTAATAAAGATAATGTTTCTCTAACTCATCCTCCTAGACCGGTTTTTAGTATTGATCCAGGCACAGAGGTTCATTTAGGTGATTTAATCTCGACAACGGGAGGATATCGACATTGGGATACAACAAAGATTTTAGAAACAATAAGACCAGAAGATCATTTTATTTTACAGGATATTTACCTTTCTCAACAAGCAACTCCAGATGGTCTTGCTTGGCATTATAACAACACGGGTGAATATTCTGTGCGATCTGGGTATTGTCTTTGCATGAATGATCCAAATACTATAATTAATCAACCGCCCCTCCCTCACGGTTCCACTTGCTTAAAGAATAAAATCTGGAAACTCTTCCCAAAATTAAACATTTTTTGTGGCGTTACATCACCAAATCCTTAGCCACAATTACACGATTAAATTCTAGGGGAATGAACATTGATCCAGTTTGTCCACGGTGTTTTCGGGCTGATGAAACTATAAATCATATTTTTTTTAC